TAATGGAAATTACTAGAAACACGACATGATCTGTGGTGTTTGAGGATTTAATGAATAATGATCTACAAAAGTAACTATTAATTATAACATCAGAATCACAGTTTGTCATATTAAATATAGAAATGTTGTTAATGTATTATTATTATTATGGTAGTAGTAGTAACGTTAGATGTTGTTGTTATAGAGCCATTTCAAATGCTTAAATCATAAATGTGATGCAACTTGGTTAAGTACGTCAACATAACACTAAAATAGTATAGTATCGGTTGTTTTGTCGACCTTAATGCATGTATTATGCATTGATAACACGCACAAATCTAATATTAGACAAACATGAGAGGAAACTATGCCCTGTTCTTTACCAAACTCAATGCAACTTAATGTAAAATGTGTTGTCACAATGTCAGGTTAAGTGAGATTTGATTAGAGCAAATAAATTTAGTATAATTACCCATGATAAAACTGACAGTCTACTGTCGGACTCGGAACTGAGAGGCGCTTTTCTTCCTTCTTTTCCGGGTTATCTCATATAACCCCTCCTTGAAGCACATGAGCCAATTGCAAATTGCATTTTCTCTGCACCCTTGATCACATGCATCCAATCGTAATATCTGATTGAGTGAGGCAAACATGAACCGCATCGTGCTATGCATGTAGCAGAGGCGTAGCTTCATGCAAGTCTCTATGCGTTTGCGTCTTACAATAACCCATCCAATCAAAATCGATAGCGTTGGCCTACGCTGCAGCATGTTTTAACCAATCGGCATCAAGCAGGGGCGGGCTCTGTTGAGCAGCAGGCATTCGGGCACGCAGCGACTGTTTACAACTGAACAGAGGGATAAGGGAGGAAGCGAATAAATAAATGAGCATTCGTACGCCATAATAACAAGGATTTACATCAATGAATAGCTTTTGCTTTAGTTTTTACGTTATATTTTGTTTGGGAAAACATTGTAATAACTGGTTTGTTAAATGCTCTCCCCGCACGATTTTAATTTTCGAAATATGAACAGCAAAGAGGGGACGTCTATTTTCTATTCACTGAAATCTGCCATTTTTTTGTTATTTGTGAAGTGTGTGCATATATATATATGAGAAAGAGCATATATAATATAGCATATTTACATAAAAAATAACTAATCACAACTAATATACAGTGCTAACGTTACTATACAAGACTAATCGATTATTTTTTAGTAGGCTATAACGCATTAAAAATATTTAACGCAAATAAGGCAGCATCCCTAGTTTTTTTTTTCCATCCATACAATCCAACTCTGAGTGAATTTTTTTTCAGACTGTAAAAAAAAAATTGGCCTTGGTAATGGGCATGACAATGCTGACAGGCCTATTTTTGGTCTTGGTGGAATAGATCTTGGTCTTGGCGAAAAACAAGAGAGTTTTCACTCTCTCATAATATGCATTTATTATGATATATAATATTATACACTCTTATGTCACAAGGTGTAGGTTTTCATGAAGATAAATAATCATTTGAAACCTCTTGCGGATTCTTCAACCATTATGGGTTCACATAATTGTTGAAAGTTAGCTGGTATGTTCAGATTCAACAATTCATAGCTTCACCAATGTTATACTTGTATGTGTAGAAATTAGTGACAGCTAGCCATTTTCCACAAGTGACAGATCATGTTCACATTAAGATTACTTATCATTTCTGCTATTACAGGGACAACATGATCTGTAACTCTCTAGGAGAACATTTGCATTACCTTCCTAACTGCTATTTAGTATGTGCGCCACTAATAGATATTTTAATAATTCATCAGTATGTATTGTAAATTATTCACCTCCCTGTATGGTCATTGATGTCACTGAAACTAAAGCCATTCTCCCTGACAGAGGTGCGATTAATTTAGGTTAAATGTTGGTGGTGGTTTATAAATTATGTCTTTTTCCAAGGACTCACGCAACAAATAACATGCATTTGACTAATAAGTCAATATTAGGGACAGAGATTCCTCACTAAAGAATGCACTTAAGTCAAGATTCAGAAGTGATTGGTACAGTTATACATCCCTCAGAAATAGAGTAGTAAGGAACATAAGGAAAGCAAAAGCAGATTTTTATATAAGGGTAATTAATGATGCAAAGGGAGATGGGAAGTTAATCTGGAAAAATCTTAATAAATTAATTGGGAAAGATACTCAGCACTGTACACCGGCACTAGAACTGAAATTAAATGGAATCATAATCAGAGAAGACGACATCATAGCAAGTACCTTTAATAATTTTTTTATTCAATCCGTTGAGGATTTGGTACAGAATTACACTACCAGTACTATAATGAGTATTCCAATTAATTACGACAAACCGGTTTTTAGGATTGAGGAAATTAGTGAACTCGAGGTAGAGAATACAATAAATTCATTAGGGAACTCAAAAGCTAAAGATGCCTTTGGTTTTGATTATGTATTTCTTAAAACTCACAAACAGTTTTTAATTAAACCTCTTACACACTTAATCAATTTATCAATTAAACAAGGTATTTTCCCAAGTTCCTGGAAAAAAGCCGTGGTGACCCCCATTTTCAAAGCCGGTGATAAAACGTTGGTGGAGAACTACAGGCCTATTAGTATATTACCCGTATTATCTAAGGTGGCAGAGAAATTGGTGGCGAAACAGCTGGCTATACATCTTAATACTGGTCTTTCAGCACTTCACCCAATGCAGTTTGGCTTTCGGAGTAAACACTCTACAGAAACAGCCAACTGCTTCCTTATAGAGAATATTAAATGTAATCTAGACAAAGGAGGCGTGGTCGGTGCAATATTTTTAGACTTAAAAAGAGCTTTCGACACCGTCAAGCATGACGTTCTTTTGTCAAAATTATCATATTTTAATTTTTCTGAGAATGCAATAAAATGGATGAAATCTTACTTAACTGACAGAAAACAAAGCACACGCATTAACAATACCCAATCCACATATTCAAACTGTAAAATAGGTGTCCCTCAAGGATCTATATTGGGCCCTCTTTTGTTCAGTCTCTATATAAACGACCTGCCCACTGTTTGCCCATCTGTACATTTACAAATGTATGCAGATGACACAGTCCTCTACGTGCATGCTCAAAATAAACAACAAGCTGCACACAAACTGACTGAGGCCATGAGTAAGGTATCCAGGTGGCTAACTAATTCATGCTTACACTTGAATATTAATAAAACAGTCTGTATGTACTTTACAAAACAACCAACTGTCACTTATGACCCTGAGGTGCTTGTCAACCAAGAGAAGATTAGAGTAGTGCCGGACTGTAAATATTTGGGAATCATCCTAGACTCAAATCTATCATTCAAAAAGCATACTAAAAAGGTTGCCAATATTGTTAAATTTAACCTAGCAAATTTTAAGCATATAAGATCGTATTTATCAATGAAGGCCGCAAAAATCTTTCTGAATGCAATGATTCTCTCACATTTCTCTTACTGTTTAACTAGTTGGTCGCAAGCAAACAAAACAACAATGCAACCTTTGGAGTCACTTTATAAACAGGCATTAAAGACTCTGGACCGGAAAGGAAATAGTCATCATCATTGTCTTATAATTAAAAAACACAATATGCTCAGCTTTGAAAATTTCATACATTTCGCTGATGCATGTCTTGTTTTTAAGGTACTCCGTGGGCTTGCTCCACCACCACTGTGCCAATTCATAAAACAGAAAGACAAGGCCAATAGAGCTACTAGAGCAACAACAAGAGGGGACTGCATTGTTCAGTATAGACAAAGCAGGTTTGGAAATGCAGTCTTCTCTATTAGAGCCACAATTTTCTGGAATAGTTTGCCCAAAGAGTTAAGGCAGTGTAATAGTCTCTTCTCCTTTAAAAAACAACTTAGGTCTTGGTTTGGGGACACTTATACGTGTAAGCATACATCCTATACTTAGGTTTAAAATACACTTGTATATGTGGATGGATGTATGTGTATATGGGTTGTGTACATGTATGAATGTATGTAGAGATGTGCGTATGTATATGCGTACATTTGTTTGCGTATGTATGGGTGAGGGAGTGTATGTATATATATATATATGGCCTGTGTATGCTCTTTATGTTTTTTAGGCTTATATTGATCCTGATATGTCCTGTTCATATTTTATTATATCACTACTGTACATATTAAATGTATTTTTTACTGACTTTTGCATTTTAGGCAGCCTACTAAGACCTGGCTAGGGACAGCAGATGAAAATTAGCACGCGTAGCTAACTCTGGCTTGTTTACAACATGTATTGTTGTTGATTAATGAGCATTGTCCCTATCAAATAAAAATGAAAAAAAAAAAAATAACATGCATTTGACTAATAAGTCAATATTAGCAGTTATTACTTCAAATTACCTCTAAAATGCAAGGAAAAACACACGCTTCTCCGTTTACAGAGGAGTTTGTTAGCTCGACCACATAATAGTGATGCATATGAATTAAATTTCTATTCGTCTATGTTTTCAAGAATCAGCAGAATTAGATTGAAGACTGCATCTCTGCTGTCCCAGAGGCATATTATGCTGTTGTCTCTTGACTGCAACCATTGTTCTAATGTACATAATTGGCAATTGAATAGATTCAGAGCATTAAAAGCTGCTTATTTGCCTCATACAGAGTAAAGAATGCTTCAAACCCAGTAATATGAACTCCAAATGCACTGATTGAATGGGTGCAATATATAACCAGATTTATTATCCCATTTTGTAGGTTTGTAATTGTTTTAAAGTAATGTCTTTTCAAAGTACAGCTGCTTATTGCCATCAGTTTATGCGTAGACATGATTAAAAGATGCATGTAGTGTTTCAGATTTATCCAAATGAGCTCTTTTAATTACTTTCATTGATACTGTAGGCATGTTGTTGTGTTTTATCAGCATGCTGCATACCTAAGCTTAAACAACCATAGCAACCTTATGATAAGCTTATATAGCCAAAAGGTCTCCTCCATCCAACCTGGAGCAGATGTTCTAAAGCTTATATCAAAGCTCAAGCTAAAGTGTTCGCTTGGACAGATTGGATTTGCAGCAGTGTGGAGGGGTTGGAGATGTTGCCTTTGCGATTTCGGCTGGATTTGGACCATCAGCGGACATGCCTGGAGGAGGACAGTAGCTGTCTGTGAGCTGAGATCCGGGAGCTGAAAACCGACATTAGACCCCTCGCATAAGTGATCCATCGCTCTCAACACATGCTGAGCCTGGATGTGAGTCACATGCCTATATTCCCTTGCCTCATTCTCTCGCTCACTCAGTTGCTCGCTTTCCATTTTCTCCCTCACCCCAAAGTCATTGGACAGTCCCTCATTCATTTTTCAAAACTCATTTTCCGCCCTTGAGCTCAGGATTTTTTAATTCTGGCTTCACCTTGACTGGTGGCCTTTGGGCATGAGGGATCAACAGAGCCGGGCTTTGATCCAGTACGCCGGCATGGGACTCATTTCCAGGCCTGCCACACGGATGCGACTCAGTGGGTTCGACTTGACCTCGTGGCTCCTCTGGGGCCCTCAGGCCGCGGTCGACAAGACCCGGTTCCCTCCTCCTCTCCATGCCGAGCACCTCCAATACCTCTTTCTAATCAAACCTCTCTCCTTTCCACAGTCCTGCCTTTGATCTGCATAATATGCCTCCTCCTCTTCATCTCCCATCTCCGTTTATCACATCATGTGTGAATGCAGAACATCAGTGAGGTGTCACACAAGGTTAGTAAATACTCATGTACTGCAGGTCTAGTAAATAAAAATGGGTAAAGGTCTTTTCGGATTGCAGACACCAGGAAAAACAAAATGCAACTAGCAAACTAACCAGATGATTGTACATATTTAACATAATTGTGCTAGAAAATAATGTAGCGTTATTAATAAAAGTAAAGTAAGGCTTAATTCAATTTGACAGACAGGTTGACAGACAGGTCTCTTCTACACTGGTCATCTTCAGTTCTGTTCTTGTTAATATTAATACATTTCAGGATCTTAAGGAATGTATATATATACACAAGTAATTGATTAAATGTTTTATGTTCAAAGTAAAAGGAAACAATATTTAATCAGGCCACCGAGCATATGGGGACGAGATGATTCTGTAGTCCAAGGGGTCAGCAATGGGTAGGCAGTCCAACAAGGCAAAAATGCAAGAGGGCAAGACAGGAGAGTGGTCAGGCAGAGTCAGAACCAGCACCAGCAAACACAATCCAAGGAACAGGGCAGAGGATAGTCCAGGTACAAACAAAGGTCCAATAACAGAGCAAATCCAAAAAGGTTGGGGATAAGTAAACTGCAGGGGTGGACAGGGCTAGGAGAAACAAAACAAGATCATAATTTGACAAGACCAAATAAAACAATTTGAATGGCTGGAGAATGACAGAAAAAAATAGTCAAAACACTCTGGCAGAGAAGGCAGATAAAGAAGGGATCTAAATAGTGTGAGAAATCAAACAAGGGGAAAAATTATATATATATTTATATATATATATATATATATAAAACATTTAAATAATTTATTAAATACATGTGTGTAGTATATGCTATATATATATATATATATATATATATATATATATATATATATATATATATATATAATATAAATTAAATACTTGTATATATAATAAATTTTTATATTTACAAGTATTTAATTTATTATTTAAATTATATATATATATATATATATATATATATATATATAGTAATATAAAATAAATAATTAAATAAATTTAAATAGTAATATAAAATTAAATAGATTTAAATAGTAATATAAAATAAATAATTGTATTGGTTAACACATTTTTTTGTTGGATGTCTAATGTAAATTATGCTACTTGACAAAAAAAAACAAACTCGAGAACCACTGATCTAAAATGCATTAGCTGTACGGGGCTTGTTCTTGACAGGTTCAACATAGTCTCATGTGTATAACGTGCCCATGCCGAGATCCTGCTGCTGTACCTTTAGCCGTGACAAGTCGGCCTCTGTGCCAGCTGTGCCCATGGGGCGGCATCGGTCGTAACAAGAGTCGCTGTGCCCGCTTCAGCGCAAGCCCATTGTGGGGTTAGAGGATAATAACGTTCTGCTTCCTTTTGTCAGTGTGCTTTGCTGGATGATAAACAGAGCTCAGGCTGGAAGAGGTGAGTTTGTAAAATCACAGCCCAGAAGCCTGGTGTGTGCACTAATTGAAGTAAACCGAACCCGTCAAGCTGCATCAGGAGTGATGACTGGCTGCCCAGGGAAGGGTCTTCCAGGTCACTATTGGAGGTTATGTTAATTCGGTTGTTAATGACTTCCCTTTGAGTGATAATTGATCAGCTTCATTACCATATTCGTCTGTAAGGCTATGTCACTGGGGTAAAGCTCCGTGTAATAAACGCTCTGTTTGATTTCTGAAATAATGAACTAATTAGACTAATTAAAATCAATAGAGGTGCCAATACAAGGTTAGGCATCTGACGGCGGTCTCTATCTATGCCCGAGTCACCAGCTCAGTTTAAAGGAACCTAATGCTGATTTATGAGCTCTTGATGGTCATTAGTTGGAATAAATTGCGCCGAGGAGCCGAGACAGCATTATTCAAGTACAGGATACTAAGTGCATTGTAAGGTCAGCAATAAGGGCAAACCTACATATGTTGTGGAATGCCCTTGTAAACCTTTGTTAATATATCAGGTCAGAACGGCGTCGGACGCCTTCATCTATCATTGCATGTGTTCTCACGCAGTGATGGTTCACAAGACATTGTCCAGACTCTACGTTGAGTGAGATTCAAATATGCTGTATATTATAGAGGTGTTCTTTGATTTTTATCAAGACAGCCGTGTCGGTAATTATTAAAGACCTCCTTGAAGCAAGGTCGCAAACAATATGTTGTGATTGCATCAGAGTGAGCGACGGCTTATTGCTCTTTCATTAGTTATCTGCTTTTCTCTCTGATCGCCATGGGATTTTGCTTTTTTATTGGCTCTTGGATGCCACGTTTAGGGGAGATGCATCCCTCTCCTCCTCACCCTTGCCTTGTGTAACGGTCTCAAAACCCTAATAAGAAGGTAGAGAATTATATAAAATCCTGACTATTTCTGACAGAGGCAGGCCAAGCCAATGTATATTGGAAGGGCCACCGCTTCCCTAAATTCATGCATTAATCTAAGATGTCAGTGGTGCAACCTTGATGGTCCATTTTCAGCCAGTCAGCCTGGTTATTTTTCTTTCCATCACCGCTTTGGGCGTTGGTCTTGGATCTGACGTTTTTCTCACTCCTTTCTGCCCTTATTTCAGCCATATTAATGTTCAAAATGGTCCTGAGAAGTAATTTGTGTGATGCGACATCCATGTTTTGCCCTGTTATATATCAGTACGGGCTTACTGGGCTTGTGTTGTGCACTTTTTTTTTTTCTCTGCAGGGTAGTTGACCATTACTTTAATAGTTTTTTTTTTCTTTCCCCCACACAGGCTTTAATGATTGAGTAGTGTTTGTGCCAGCTTTTGCCATTCCTCTAACAAATTAGTTTACTGTGGTCATAACCTTCAAAAAGCTCATTACCATAAATTGCATGGCTTTTCATAAAGGCTGAGAGCTGCATTGACGAATCGCAAACAGGACCTTTCTCAGGACACTCAGACCTGCTACTAAATTAGACCCACCACGTCTCCCCCAGCTTTTCTTAATCAGCTAATGTTTTTGATTCTCTTAATTTCAGCCTCTTCTGATTTATCTGAATAACTAAAACAGACACATTTACATTTAGCATGTCGCTTGTTCAGGAAATGACATCTGTGGGATGCTGCTATTGTAAATTCACGTGATTTTTACTGTCCTTAAGTCTAAGATGCCTTTTTCTTTTCAGTGTTTGTAGTATTTATGAGAAGAGCATCGTTATTTTACTTGCAGTTGCTATAGATAGGACATGAGTGTAACATTATTTGTTGTTTCAAAGATGTTAATTGTGAAAGAAACCTTGTGTCTTGGGTCAAAGGGAAATTAATAACTGCAATCAATCTCCAAATGTCTTTGTTTTGGCTGCATGTATTGGATGACTTGTCTTGCAATATAATTATTATTGTCTGCCAAATAAAAAAGACTTGATAGTCAGATCGCACAGTTAAATGTAATTAAACAAGAATGCTTGTGAAAAGCAGCTCTGGCTTTTCAGAGGAACTGATATAGCTGTGATTCCTCCTGGGGCTCAAAGAGAAAGGCTGTATGGAATTTAATTTCAGTTATTGTCTCTTCACGGTGGCCAGTAAGATTTTCTGTTTGAGTCGTAGCACATAATGGGAGGCTCTTGAGCTTCCTGATCACCCTTCCGTTTAGTCTTTTAAGCTAGTTCTCCATGCCTCGCTCCTCCAGCCTGCTTTTATTGTTTTCTCTCTCGCAGTTTAATTCCCTGCAATACATGCCGGTGTGGCTGCCCCATCCTGCTTTACTCAACAATAATATCAGGCGTGCACCTTCAGTGAGCGAGCTGTCCCGCGGCTCAGTCTCTTTGCTTAATTAGCCTCACACGCAGCCACACACACACATTCGGTGATACAAAAAAGTATGATGATGACACACACACACACCAGACGATTTTCCCCCTCAGTTTCCATTTTGTTGTTAGCATTAATCTACTTAGAATTGCAAGGTGCACCGAGCAAAGCTAGTTTCACCTTAATCTTTTTCCCTCATAAAATTAACTATTGGAGAAATGTTTGTGGAGTTAAATTTGTTGCTTGTGTATTGGTCCGAGTTTTTTTTTTTTTTTTTTTTTTTAAGTGCACAAAATCCATCAGTGTTCCTTCTTGTTTGTTGAGTGCATTAAAGGAGTCTTGGCTGACCTAAAAAGCCAAGCTTTAGAGCAAAATAATAAAGAGTTTCATCTCAGGATCATGCATAAAATATTGCCCTGCTTTTAATGGCTGTATCTTGACCCTGTCTCTGAGTATTGTGCCCCAAAAAAACAAGTGTGGCCATGTTTACTCCTCTAATGCACTTGATGGTAAGGGTGGCCAAGTCAAGTCGCTGTGGCTGTGTTGAGAAATGTAAGAGAAATTAAAGAAGTTGTTCACCAAAAACTTTAATTCTGTCACCATTTACTTGTCCTCATGTTGTTCCAAACCTGTATGACTTCCATAAAACATGTTAATGTGAATTTTTATAGAATATCCTTGCCACTGACAAAAATGGTCCAATTGACTTGTACTGCAAGTGTGCTGCATTCCATATCACTGGAAGCCATAATAGGGATCATATGAGAATCAAACCGAAATTAAATTGATTCATTATCCGCTTTGATGTAAGTGAGTTCGATGATCAGTTTGAGTTGTGTGTGAATCATTTAATCGGGTTTTGTAATTGGATCCGGAACTGATTCAGGAAGATCCATCTCAAAAAAATGCTTCATTCATGAATCGGACATGGCTATTTCTCTCATGAACACACAAGAAAAGTTTCTTTAAAAAGTGTTTATCCATTCAAAACTGAGCACAAGTTATGAACCATTTTTGTGGTGCATTTGTGGAACTTTTCATTATATGAAAAGGAATGTCCAGAACATTCCTCGAAAAATCACCTTGCATGTGTGTTAAGTGGTAAGGAAAGTCATACTGTAGGTTCAAAATGATATGAGGGTGAGTGTATGATGGCAGTGTATATTTTAAGCTCAGAATGAGGGGGAAGGTCTACTAGTGTTGGAACGAAAGCTGAAGCGGGTCAGTGAGAGAAAGAGCCATGT